GTGAGCTTGAAGCTACTTTTTTTTTGGAGACTGAAGTCATAGTGATAACCATCAGAGGATGGCAGAGAAAATAAACCTCTCGACTTGAAAGGGCCCGGCCTAGGCTGGGACCAGAGCAGATGTTTATTTGCTCGGAGCTTGCGGTTTGCTAAACCCCTTAAGGATTTGGGGTGCCGTTGGGGAGGGCAGATCGGAGCCGGGCTGGTGCCTACCTCTCAGCTGCTACGTTGAACTTTGCTAAAGAAAATACTTGGGGGAAGACCAAAAAAAAAACGGTTTTAAAATATGGTGCTGATTTTTTGTCTGTTTTTTTTACCCTCACGTGGGGATTTTTTTTCCCCATTGATTTTTAGAGAGAGAGAGAGAAACATCAATGACGAGGGACAGTCATGGATCGGCTGCCTCCTGCACACCCCCGACGGGGCATAGAGCCTGCAACCCGGGCACGTGCCCTGAGCAGGAATCGAACCCTGACCTCCAGGTTTATAGGTCGACACTCAACCGATTGAGCCACACGGGTCGAGCTCAAAAAAACGCAGGTTGAGCCATCTCAGTATAAAGAGCGTGGGAGGGCCCTGGCTGGTGTGGCTCAGTGGTTCATGCGTCGAGGGTTCGATTCCCAGTCAAGGGCATGTACCTGGGCTGCAGGGTCCATCCCGGGTCGGGCACATGGGGGAGGCAAGCAATCAATGTGTCTCTCTCTCCCTCTCCCATCAATGTTTCTCTCTCTCCCCNACTGCAGGGTCCATCCCCAGTCGGGCACATGGGGGAGGCAAGCAATCAATGTGTCTCTCTCTCCCTCTCCCATCAATGTTTCTCTCTCTCCCCCGCTCCCTCTGTTCCACTCTGTCTAAAAATCAATGGAAAAAAAATATCCAGGTTAAAGAGAAAAAAAAAGAGCTTGGGAGAGATTTTTTTTGACACGTGTCTTCAGTCATCGACTCGGGCCTGGCCATTCGGGAGATTATCATCTCGCCCGTTCTTGCCACTGTTCAGAAAGAAAGTCCGAGGGATTCAGCTCCTTAAACTCGATGCCACAGTCGAAGGCTCACGCTGGTTTACGGCGGACACTGAAAAAAAAAAAAAAAAAAAACACAAAAAAAACGCCTACTTCATGAAAATTCATGCCGTCCGGCGATCCTGCTGCTGCGTTGCCGAGTGAATGCCTTGGTCCCCTGCACGTCGCCTCCAAAGAAGGGACTTTGTTTACTCGGTGACGTCTTTGGAAGCCAAGAGCCAAGGGATTCGGAGCCGGTTTCTTACAAGGGCTGCTAAGAAGCGCCCGACACCAGGCCATTTCCCCCCTTAGTCATCTGCTGCCAAACTCTTGACAGCGGGCGTCTCAAGTGCATCCATCTTATTTTTATCCGCCCCGGGTGACAGCTCTGGCTGGACGCCGGGCGTCTGAAGCTCCCAGGCAAGAAATGAGGCTGGGTTTTTCTCCTCGGCGTTGCTTTGAAGGCGCTGGCGTGACCCCGGTGTATTGTTCTTGATTTCGGACACGTCACGATCAACAGCCCTGGTCCATCGCGTGTCGTGCTGGAGGCAGACACAGTCGTCTTTGGAGGGCCAGTCGGACCCGTGGTTCTATACGCGGAACACGCCACGGTGGGAAGACAATAGTGCAGGACTTGCCCGGCCGGTGTGGCTCAGTGGTTGAACGTCAACCGGTGAACCAGGAGGTCAGGGTTCGATGCCTTAGCAGGGCACGTGCCCCGGTTGCGGGCTCGATCCCCACGAGGACATCTCGGAATCATTTTCTTAATTAATTAATTTATTTTTTTAAGTATGTTTTTATTGATTTCAGAGAGAGGAAGCGGGAGAAAGAGAGAGATGTGACCTCCAGGTTCATAGGTCGACGCTCAACCGCCAGGCCGCACGGGCCGGGCTCCGTTTCTTCACTTATTCACCATGTCTGCGGTTCAGCGCCGCTTAGCGAATTCTACTTATCTTTACGCTCACTGAGCAAGTGAACTTGAAAGACAAAGGTCCAGAAAACCTGCCCTGCGCACGTAATGATACAAACGCCGCGACGTCTTCTGCATGTCGGGACGGAGTTTGCCCCTGTACAAGGGCACCCGCTCATCCCCGGGCCCCACGCTTTAATTCTAAAGGCCCGAGGACACCTTCCACAATGGGCAATAAAATCCTCGCTGACCCGATTTTCCTGGAAAATGGGCTTTTATTTTCCCCAAGCTCGATTCTTGGGGGGCTTCTGATGACCCAGCTTGCTCTCAACTGTGATAAAAGCCGACTTTCCACAACTGGTCCTTGTAACATCCACTCTGGGGCTACGTTTCCTGTGTTATTTTTTTTGTTTGTTTTATTTTATTGTATTTTTTTAATCTTCACATGATAATATTTTTTCCATTGATTTTAGAGAGAGTTGAAGGGACAGATGGGGAGAGAGAGAGAAACATCGATGGGTTGCCTCCTGCAGGCGATTGAATCTGCAACCCAGGCACATGCCCTTGACTAGGAATCGAACCCGAGACCCTGCCGTGCATGGGTTGACGCTCTAACCACTTATCCACACCAGCCAAGGCTACGTTTCCTGTTTTAAATTAAGCACCAGCTTTCCTCGATTTTTTTTTTTTTAATTTATATAAGCCAGTAGCACGTGGCTGAACCAGGGATCCCAGTGACAACTCCCTTGTGTTTCAAGGGGAATTTCCATGAGCCGCTTTCTTTGCCAGGAGAAGCTTTCATAACTCATGTTCCCCAAGGAACATTTCCACAGACGCGGCCCAAACTCCCTGGATCGGGATATAAATTTCGCTTTCAGAGCGTCCTTTACCGTCGGGCTTTCGGGAAGTATCCATAGCCCTGGGCCCCGCGGTTGCGGGATTGAATCATAATCTTCAGCCACGGACGCTACAAATGGACGGCCAATCCACACCTAAATATACAACACTGCCCGGCCGGCGTGGCTCAGCGGCTGAGCGCCAGCCTAGGAACCAAGAGATCAGGGTTTGAGTCCCGGTCAGGGCACATGCCCGGGTTGCGGGCTCTATCCCTAGTCGGGGGCCTGCAGGAGGCAGCCGATCCGTGATTCTCTCTCATCATGGACGTTTCTCTCTCTCTCTGTCTGTCTCCCTTCCTCAATAAAATAAAATAAAATAAAACTCATAATAATAAAATAAAAAATAAAATAAGTTTTAATGACGTCGTACGGGTGAAGCTCTAATCTGATAGGACTGGTGTCCTTAGAACAGAAAAATCTGCGCCCAGGCTCCTTCCATCGCTCTCTCTCTCCATATACACAGAGGTTGGATCATGCGAAGAGAAACTGAGAAGGTTCCGTCTACAAACCCAGACAGGAGCCCTCCCCAGAAACCAACCCTGCCGACACCTTGATCCTGGACTTCCAGCCTCCAGGACCGTGAGATGATAAATGTCCGTTGTTCCATCCGCTCAGTCCACGGTGTTCTGTAGGGCAGCCTGGGCCCCTCAGTACCATAGCCTGTCCTCCTCTGAAACCCTTTTCTCTCCATCACCACCGGCATCTACACCTTCGTCGGCTCCGGCGCAGCTAGTCAACCGTCAGCAATCTTCCCGGTTTCCTGTGCGGCGGCTGCCAAGAGGACTTGACTGACCCGCTGAGAATTTCCTTTTTTAATTTGCAATTTTATGGCCCGTTTCTCTGGACTCTGCTCAGTTGCTCAGAAGCGGAGTCAAGGCGACTCTTTTAATCAGTTTTATTTCCTCCCAACATTGGTTGTTGTTTCTGTGGATTTTTTCTTCTTTTTTCCCCTCTTTGGATATATTTTACAAGCCTTTTGCCAACAGTCATCATCTTGGTGTTTTTTTGTGGGTGTTTTTTTTCCTGGAACCTCCCCAACGTGTCCAGCTCTCAGATCCCTCTGGCCTGCCTCTCAGCTGGGAGTCTGCAAGCTGACCCTTCTCGGGATTGAGATCTGAGGACACGGGAGGTGTTTAGGAGTCCACGAGAGCACTAAAAATGGGACTTGGGTACGCATGTGGCTGGGCGTGTTATACTTCTACTCCAAAAACAGCAGCCTGCCGCTGATATGAGATGGTTAAAGCTCGACAAGCTCATTCGATTTGTATCTGGAGCCCCGGGATAGCTAAATACTTAGGAACTGAGTTTAGGCCACGTGTTCTACGCATTGAGGTCAACCCAATGGGCTCCAGTGTCAGGTTTCTACAAATCTATATTGTTAAGGCTGGTGTTTTGTCTCAGATGCCTTTTATTTTTTAAATTTTATAAAAATGTATTGTTGAAAGTATTACAGATGTCCCTTTTTCTCCCCATTGCCCCCCTCCCCAGGCCTTCCCCATGCCGTTGACTGTGTCCATGGGTTACGCATAGATGCATATAACTTCTTAGGTTCATCTCTTCCCACCCCTTTCCCTCTGAGATCCCTCCGTCTGTTCCACGCTTCTATGTCTCTGGA